TAGAGACTACACCGCTCAGGGGGTCTGCCAAACGATATAAAAGGCGAATGAGGGTCGTCTTGCCCGAACCTGACTCTCCCACGAGAGCGACCCGGCGACCAGCCGGAACTTCCAGGGAAAAGCCATCTAAAACTAGCTTGCCCACGCCTCGCGAAGCGCTTGAGTCTTGGCTATCTTCCTCCATATGCTTTTTATAATGCCTTTGTTGGCTGGACATCTGGTCCAGGGAGTGAGAAGGGGGATAGGCGAACTTCACGTCCTTGAATTCGACGGCTCCACCGCGCAGCTCAAACACCACAGGGTTGGGAGGATCGCGGACCAGCGGCCGCAATTTCAGTAGCTGTTGCAACTTCTCCAAGTCAATTGTGTTCAGCGTCAACTCTCTATAAGCCGTGCCAATGAAATTTAAGGGAATCGCTAGCTGCAGCCACAAGACAAGCACACCTTCAGAAAACATTTTGGCAATAGAGTTGCGTCACATGCACAGCCTACAGCAGCCTGCATCTCCGTTACATATGCACGCTTAGGAATGACTTCTGTCGGTATAGAAATCTCGTGTGGCGCAAGCTTGTGCCGAATGTTGTGCTGCAGCATGCACTTTGGGTCATATTAGTGTTGTTTGGGCTGCTGCATGCTGTGGCTGAATTGGGCAGCCCAAAACTTGTGCCGAAGCGTTTGCTTTGGGGCATTACAGTGTTGCTCGGGTTGCTTAGATAGTTTACGTCTCACCTGCAAGAGCAGAGTGCTGACGAGAATGATCTGTCCCACTGGGGCAGCGCCTGAGGCAACTAGGCTAGCCGTATGAAGCAATGCCAGGGAGAGGCCACTGGTGAAGATGAGTTGCTGCCCAAAATTTAAAAAGGCAAGAGACTCGTTCACCTTCGTCATTTGGTCCTCTAGCTGTCGCTGGACTGACCCGAAGCGCTGCGCCTCGTAGGCCTCCGCCGTGAAGTATCTCACAGCCTCCGCATTTGCAAGAGAGTCCACCAAAAGTCCTGAAATGCGTACCGCCGCCTCACCGATGCTACCTCTAGCAAGAGCAGCTAATGCAGGCTCAACAAACGGCAGCAGCCTCTACCGTGCAAGGGCAAGCAGCCCACCTAGCAAAATAGACTGCGGAATTTGTTAGGGCTGCCTGGAGTCCCTTCTACATTACGGGACAAGCTCTGAGGGTTGAGCAGCTCTCAGCCAACGTGTGGGGAATGGACCTCGTGCACACGCAAATGTCTCCAATAGCATTGCGTCACAGCACTCCTGCGTGCTGCTTACCTGCACTAAGCCCCTCAAGGCGATTCATCTCGCGTCTTAGCTTTGCTCGGCGAGTCGTAATCGCTGCAGTAAAGGCCCAGTAGGCCGATATTGTTCCCACAGCAGTCGCCGCTACTGTCCAGCCAACACGCAGCTTAAGGAGAGCCAAAACCATCAAGAATTCGAGGCTTGTAGGCACCACCTACAACAAAAACAGCAGCAGCAGCAGCAGAATCGGCACCCGTGGCAAAGTTACAGCGTGGCGGTAAACACCACACAGCCGCCTGTGTTCGATGCATTGCTAACCTGAAAGAGAAGAACATTCAGGAGCAATGAAATGGCCTTCGTTCCTCGAGTAAGGACAGCCGTCATCTCGCCTATCTGCAGCAGCAGCTCAAAACACGATACGACCGAAGTTGCTGCCGAAGCCACAGTAGCAGCTGTGGCGGCAGCAGCGGCATACGCAGGGAGCAAACAGCAACAATGGCAGTGGCTGTACTTTGTTGTTGCTGCTAAAAGAAATGGCGTGCATATGAGAGAATGACTTCAAGGCCAACTCGCGAGAAGCTCTCTGCGAGACGCGAGCGAAAAGAGCAGTACGCAGCTCCGTGAAAGCTGCATCACAGAAACAACAGCAGCATGGGCAGCAACAGCAGGAGATCTGTGGAACAGTTCTCGCGGCTTCTGAAGCATATCAGCAGCAGCAGCAATTCACTCGGCAACTCAGATAACAAAGTACCTGAAGCTCCAAGTCTTGCTAGGGGATAACTAACAACAAGTCCAACAGGAAGAGCTGGATGGAACAGCGACGCAGCTCCTGTTGTTCCGGTTGCAGCTGCGATTCCTTCAGCTGCAGCAGACGCTGCTGCTGCTGCTGCTGGTGCTGCTGTGTGTGCTGTTATGCCAGCCTGGGCGCCTGCTGCAGCTGCTTGTGTAAAGTGGTCAACGAGGCCCGCCAGTGCAACAGGAGCAGCAATGGTCAGACACTTTGCAGCAATCAGCGAAACCACTGCAGCTAAGACGCGCATCTTTAGGGGGCGACTCGCCGGCCACAGCGCAGCGGACAAAAGCCCCCACAAATTCGCTGTCTTTTCATTTGCTTCCCCGTGCCCTGGCACTTTGGAATGCTGGCTTGTGCTGCTGCTGCTGGCCTTGTTGTCGCCCCTGCTGTCATTGACGCTGCTGCTGCTGCTGCCGCTGCTGCTGCCGCCGCTGGTGCTGCTCTCGCTTCCGCTGCAGGAGGCGGAAGGCTCTCCGGGCCCCGCTTGTTGGCTTCCGTATGGTTTGGACGGGGGACTGCTGCTGCTGCTGCTGCTGCTGGTGCCGCTGCTGCTGCTGCTGCTTGCAAGTGTCGACCCGCAAGCTGCAAAACGTGCAGGTGGCTGGTGGGCGCAGCCGAAGAGGCCCTGGGGGTAGACTGTCCACGCCGTCGCATAATTAGCAGGGCTCTTTGCAGCAGGTGGAACAGCACAGAGCCGATGAGCAAATTTCCATGGGGGGATAGAAGGCCTACCCCTGCCTGCAAGCCCTTGCAGGGGCCCTGGGCAAGCCCCGAATACCGCGGCAGCGCCACATGAAGGCGAAGCCGCCATTCTCTTCGGTGCAAGAGCTGCTGCAGCAGCTGCAGTAGAGACGCCTCGCCAGCCACGGCTGGCCCTGCAAAAAATGCTTCGCATTGTCCGCTGGCTTCTGGGGGGGCTCAGCAGGATCCAGAGGGCGCCCCTACCGAGCCCCATGGCCAGGAGCTGCGCAGTTTCTGGGCTACGCCCGCGCCGCTAAAGGCCACTGCTGGGCTGGGGCGCGCCATTCATTGGGTGTGGAGGCAGTTTGCTGCAGTCTGCGCCTCCAAGGCGTCACGAAAAGGTAATTGGGGAAATGTGGCAACAAACATGCTGGTCGCATGCACTGGCAGCAGAAGTTTGGCCTTCGCAGCTCAGTGACCAGCTGTCGCTTGCATGTAGCGCCTATGGTGCTCCTTCTTTGCGTGGACAGCTCTCGTCTTCCCTCTTCGGAGCTGCCAGCGCCACGAATGAGCCAACCATGCCGCAAAATATGTATCTGCAGGATGCATTTGGGCCAATCTCAACAACTAATTCAAATTGAGAAAACCACAGCCATGAACGCTCTCCAGGTACTCTCTTGGGGGGCCCCACAGTGACTCGGGGCCCATCTGCGGTTCATCCCAAGGGGCCCAGAGGCAGCTAGCACTTCTTCAGATGTTCTAACGCTAAAATTTAAACTCATGTGAAAATTGTACAACTCATAAAGGACCTGAGTTCATCTAGGGTGCTACGGCAAGGAGCGAGTTCTCAGCTTGAGTCCACACATTCCTCGATTTTCCCGTTGATGGCTTCTACCCGAATGTTCTCGATATAAAGCGGGCTCCGATTATTAAAATAGTTTGCTGTGTGGACTGTGACAAGCACGGAGGCTTGCACATCTCTTCCGTAATAAGCCAGTCTCAAAGTCGAATGCTTGTCCCGCAACCTCGAATGCACAGACACTATGGAGGCGAGCGTCGAGCTCAATGAGAGGAATAACTGGCTAAGCATCACCATTTTGTAGACAGTCAGATGAACAGGCGAAGCCCCAGGCCAAAGCAGGCGACGGCCGGGCTAGCCGCAACTCTCAGCTCAGGTGAGCTTATTTTACGCTGAGGAACAGAGCATGCAGGAAGAAGAAATGTGCCTTGCAATCAGCTCATGCCAGTGGTCATTCAGCCGCCAGAGCCGCGTGCAGACATCGTAGATAAAGAACAGCACGCATAAATACCACATGTGCGGTCGGCCTATTCTTGTGAAGAACGGTGGAACCAGAAAGCCTGAGTACTTGGCTCTGCATAAGTGAAACCGGCGCCCTCTTTATCGCCAGCGTAATTCGATGCAGTTTGAGCAAGTAGGGAAAATTTCACTGCATGAAGAAGGAAAGCCGAAGGTAAAGCTACCGCAAGACTTGGCAGGAGGGCCTCTTTCGAGCCCCCGTGTCATGAGCTCCCGGCTCCCGGTCATACTTCTTTTCTATCCAGAAGCAGTCTCAGTACGTCTTTTCAACCTACAGATTTCACGAGAGGCTCTCAACGTCTACCGCTATAAACTTCTGCGTACGGCTTTTCAAGTGCGCGTATTCACTCAGTCTGTACACGGGTCACCTTTGGACGCAGTGTTGTAATCAATAATAACATGAGCATGGCCAAGCAAACGCACTTCTCCCCTTGTGCTTCAATGCACATTTTGGCTTTCCCATAAGTATTCCGCGAGTTCTCGTCGGTCTGCACCCCACCTAGCTAGCTACCGGGCTTGTACGGAATGGTTCTGTGGAGCAGCTAGCTGTGTTGGTGCTTGTTTGAGTCTATCTGTCTAGACTCTATTTTTCTCAACCTTTCTGCAGTTGTGGTAATTGTAATTTTCCATCACTAAGACTATCCAATGGTGCGGCGTCAGCCTCTCAACTGGTTTGGTCCGTAGGCAGTGAAGAAAAGCATTAGAAGCTTTGCAGCCAGTTTCAGCTTCTCTAATGCGGCATTGTCGTGGCTTAAGAGGATCCTCAATCAACAACTCATGAGATCCTCAGCTCTCATAAAAAGAACTCCGGGGAAAATCCGCACAACACGTCGAGCAAAGCCATCGCCGCGCACTGCCACATGACAAATGTCGATGACACAAGAACCAGTAAAAACTGCTGCAGCAGCAGTAGAGAAGCAGCGCGGAGCTGCTGCTGCAGGCGGCGGCCGCCAGTTCAAATTGGGCGCAGGACTAGTACTCCTTGTTGATGACCAGAGGCTTATCAGAGAACATAGTTGGTGTGTCTATTTTCATAAGACAGCACACGCCAATGCAACTTCCGAAAAATATCAACAGCAGTACCAACAGCTGAGCCAGCAGGTTCTGAGGGATATACGCACACACACAGCAAACTCTGGCACATGCGCGCCCAGCGAAAGTGAAAAGTCTATCTTACTTTACCTTAACTTTTCTCTTTATCTTTAGAAAGCTCTTCTTGATTGTAGCAGCAAGGGAAGAAGTACAGCAGCAGAGTGTCGCTATCAGTTCACTTGTCAGATTTTCAATCAGACTATGTTCTTGTTTCGGGCACTTGATTGCGACAAAAGCAAATGCAATATAAGCATCCTGCGGAATATCATGAGGCACTCTAGAGGCAGCAGCTTTGCAAATAAGAGCACCGCTGCGAATGTAAGAGTAAGGGCAGCGGCAGCAGATGCAGCAGCAGATGCAGCAGCAACGATCGCTGTTGTTGTGCTGCTCCAGTGGCCAGCAGTTCCTACGTACCGAAGTGACGTAGTTGAAGGGCGAGTCCTCGTCTTGGGTTTCAGCGGCCACACTTGCAACAGTGAGCGTGAGCGCCAGCAGCAGCGCGAGCAGTGCTCTGGGGCGCGTCATGGTGGGCTGTTGGCGTCTGTGCGCCAGCCAAAGAAGAGCTTGTAGCCAGCTGCTAGTAAATTATTCCCAAAAATATAGTTGTAGACCGCTTCAACGGCGAAGAGCCAAATAATATATGCTCTTGCGCGTATCGCTGTAGCGCGGATTCTCCCCTTCCGCTATTTAGCTTCTCAAAAGTTGGCTGTGTAATCTTGGCATGGAAGGCATGTCTTCTGAATGTGTTTTTAATATCAAAATCTACAGAATTCTCCCCATTTTATCTGAGTGCTGCCGCACGAGTGATATAACTGTTTGGGTCTGCATGCCGCTGCCACACGCTGGCGTCGAGATGATCACAAGCATGTTTGCTTCTTCAAATTTTATCTTTCCGATGATTCCGCGTGAATATGGACCTTTTGCGCATCACCGTCAAAACTTTTCGCCCTGGCAACGAGCCAGAATCATAGCCTGTCTAACGTCGGTCCGACATAGTAGCGATCGGACTCTGTTTCGACCGGTACAGTGAACCAGAGAGCCGGCCTCTTCCCTGGGTCGTGTTTGCGTACTGCGGCAAGGCAGTTTGGTAGAAGCACGCTAGTACAGTACAAAACTGGCAAACATAACTACCGGCTGCAGCACGGCATCGCCTGCTGCTGCACACATATTTTCGCCACGGGTGATCTGGTCCACGTATGGCCTAATGGCACAGGCCTACTTGTAGCGGCCACTAAAGCCCAGGAGGCCGCATGAGAAGCATGCTGCCAGTCCAGCTACTCGCGAGCAGCGTCAAGAGCAATGTGCGAAAGGGGAGTGTGGCAGCTGAAGGAGGTGCTGCTGCGGTATAGTGAGACAGGCTACAGCAGCAACGGCGTGCGGTTCTATTTGAAGCATCTGCTGCCCAGTTGGGAGCAACGCAATCCCCAGGTGATCAACGAATTTTTCGAAGTTGAAGCGTTTCTTCGGTAATGCAATTGCAGCCGTTTGTGTGCGGACGTGGGTGTCTACGTGCCTCAGTGTGCATTCAGCTTGGATATGCTTGTATATGCGTAAGATGCTCTTTCTGCTGCTGTGATTGTCGCCTATTTGTGGTGTACGAGATATGTTTGGCCTGTGTTTCAACAAGGGTTGTGTGCCTGAGTGCCGGATATTTCTACTGTGTGCATGGGCACTTGTGTACATGATCAGCTGTAGATTTTATATTTATGCAAACGCGGCTGCACGACGGCCCCAGATATCAGCAGCTGCTTCGGCAGTTGTCTTTCTTCTCCACGACGTTAACTTCTTGACTAACGCAAGTGTTTCCCCCGCCAGATTTTGGCCAGTTGCACTTTTTAGCACATTTTCTGCTAATTGTTTCATTTTTCTTATGCAGGTAAAAGTTGTGGTGCAGCACGACAAGTACGCGCAGCCACAAGCTACGTTTGTGTTCGCCTCGGGAGCTCGTTCAGAGACGCCTCTGGAAAATTTGCAGCCGCGGCAGGTGGAGGAGCTGCTGCAGCTGCATCGCGACAGCTCAGGTCCGAACCACTTCTTGAAACACGGAGGGCCGAAAGTCTGGACAGAGAGGCGCTCGATTCAGGTGAGCAGATGCTTCCCTGAACTGTCAATCCGCACGGCTTTTCGTCGAGGCAAAAAATGTTTAGATGGACAGGATGCGAGATTTAGAGACTGAGACAACGGAGGGTAAAGTTTCATGCAGTATTCAGCTTAGCAGAAATTAATTCAGAAGTAGGTGCACAGCAAGTTGCGCCCAGTGCGCTAGGATCAGGTGCCTCCACCTCAAGCGCCGCCACCAAAATAATTAGTCTCCAAAATAGTGGTAATTTATTTGGGGATGGAAGAGTGCCAGAAGACGCATTCAGCGAGGGTGCTTCTGCATTCACGGCAGTTCAAAGGGTTCCTACGGCTGCCAGGCCCAGCACCTCTTTAACACCAGCAGGCTCGAATCCCATGTCGCCCAGTTTCTCGTTGGCAGCACGTCCTCGCAACGCGCATCCTCTGATTAGAATCTGTGATTTCAGCAGTACGTCTCTGTAGGTTTTAGCCTTGCTTCACTGGTGTTCCATTTTATCTTGGGTTTGCTTTGCAGGGCTTGTGGAGGCCATCTCTACCCTCACAACTGCTGGCGCTGCGGTGGTTCAGGCGGTCCCGTCCGCCTCTCAGGCTTCCCAAGTATTCTGCTGAGAGCCTCCGCCTGTCTTTGCAAGCCATCAGGGGAGATGGGCGCTGGGGCTCAGAGAGAGAGTTCCCGAAAGGCTGGGATCAACTCGCCCTGAAGTATGCCCACTGTAACCCCCTTATGAGCGAGCCCGTATTTCCCGACCGCCAGCAGCAGCAGCAGCAGCAACAGTTGGAGCAATAACAACTGCAGCGGTAGCTGGGAAGGAGGAGCTGCTGCTTTAGGAAGGGTGCGCGTGCTCAGCATTTGTCGGCTGTCTTCGGCTTTCCTTTCTCTCCCTGTCGCATGATTGAGCAGTTGAATTATCAGCCCACGTAGCAGCGGAAGCCTTAAGGTATACTTGCTTTTTCAACAGAATGAAGAGCTCCATGAAGGGCTTCTTGTCGCTGCTCTCTCCTAACGACTGGCACCGCGTAGGAAACTACTCACAATTTTTTGCACCCTAGGATACGAAAAACCTTTTGATCTTCTTTTATCAACGGGATAGCTGGCGCTGTATATTGTGTAAAGGATTTATATGGCGACGAGTTCGTTGTCACGCAGCGCCAGTGATCCAAGAAACCTTTAGAGTGTGTATTGTCAGCCCATCTGCTGCACTAATCGTGCTTACATTTGCGCTTAACATTCTTATTGATGTCCGCTGCCTACCTGATCTGCTTGGTTGTTTCTGGGTGGTTATTTGAGTCCTACATGCACAGTTAAGCGCGGTGAGACCTACCGCTTGTGTGATGCCGACACCCCTATTCTCCTTTTAAGCACATCCTCGTATTTTCTGTCGCTTAGCACTTTTGCCCTGTCCACCGAAACTTCAGCAGTCTCAAAGAAACGAAGGCAAGATGGTTGAAGCCTGAGCTTAGCACTGAGTCGTCTCTGGGTGGCTGCTCGCTGTTTGAGCTATATTATAGCAACGTCTCATGGACTGAAGTAAAAGGTTGCTTTTGCATGATTTTCAAGTGAACAGGTGTAAAGATGGCACCAAGATCTGCGGGAGTTAGCCACTTCCGTAGAGAGTCAAAACCATTGCCAGGCTGATCTGGCTGAGTGTGACAATAAATTTCATGCAAACCAAACACGGCCCACACATGGGGCGTGGAGGGCCTCTTATAGGACCCAAGCAACCCTGCATGAGTCATTCTGGCTGCAGCTGCTCAGAGGATCTTGAGCTGCTTATCTTTCCAGCCGTATACGCCCTTGTACGTCTCAAAAATACGTCGGACCTCCTCCACAAACACTTTGTGAGCAGCCACCACTTCCTGCGCACAAGCAGAGGGCAAGTCACGAGCTAGTCTGGGAGCAGGTGCAACCGAGACACAAAAGCTGGAGTAATGGCGTGAAGAGATTGATGACATACCGCTTTCGTGGGTTTGTCTGCTTGTGGCATTTGTAAGGGACGCCCAATAGCGTAGAGCAGTGGCACGCGGTAGGCTACAGGGAGCCCAAAGCGGCCGTAAAAGGAGACGACCGCAATGCGTAACAGCCTGCAACAGACGGAGACAGCCTTAAAGTGCGTTGTGCTTATTCGGTGGGGCACCAGGAGGACGGCAGTCGCTTTTTGGCTGGAGTGCAGTGGCGCTTCTCCACGTAAAACGTGATGCCTTCCCAGAACATCTTCTGAAGCATCCGCTATCTGCCTGTTTCACTTGGCATTGTCAGATTCCTAACTTCGACACCTACCTGGCAAACGGCTGCAGAAAGCGCACGCCCCACGGTAGGCGGTATGCCTGACTATTCCCAAAGCAATACACGGGGACCAATTTTGCCCCCGTTTGCATCGCGAGTCGTACAATGCCTAGTCGATCCTGTAGGTGGAGGCGCTCCTGTTGCAACACACGAAAGGCAAGTGCAAGGGGGGAACTGAATAAAAGGTGAAGAAATTCAAATACTTATATCACATCCCTGCGGCATTTTGTGTGGGAGCCATGGATTGACTGCATGCAATTTGTGATTCCTATAAATTCTTTTGCCTTCACGCCATCTTGAAGCAAGCGCAAACGCTCGAAGGCCTCTGCTATGAGGACAGGCAAGTAGGTAACACGTCTTATCATGTTTCGACGTCATGTAAAGCCTAGTGTAGTGCTTTATTGTTTTCAAGCCGTAGAGCATAAAAGGGAAAATCGGCAGTGAAACAGCCCGCACCTCAGATGAGTTTGTCTCGTAGATTTCCGCAATACCGCCGGGTGAAACGAGTAGATTTGAGCCTTTTTCGAGAGTTTGCTTCATTGCTTGCCTGTTGACACAAATCCAAACCCGCAACGAGTTTCTACCAAGCCATACTGCATATCCACGCTACTTGGAAATGAGTGCTGCAGCCGGCATTTCACCAAGAACTGACTTGTCTGCTGGGATCGCGTCCGACAAGAATATCAATTGGCCGTACACAAGGCACCAGCGCACTACCGAGGCTGCAGTGAGACGAAAGTGTCCCAAGAGATCTCCAAAATTCCCAGTTGCCATCACCGCCTGCAGAACAAATCAAAACTGACATTTTAAGGCCCAAAAATGTACGTCCAGATGTGCTTGCCCAGCAGCGGTGCAATATCCGCATGTGCACCCCCTTGATTGTAAAGACAAGCCCCGCTCGGCTTTGAGTCCAGTCTAGCATGCTTACAGGGGCAGTAGGCACAATTCCATGTGGGAAAACTGCATAGATAGTTGGCTCCCTCGGGGGGAAGTGTTCAGCCCCCTCAATGATAGCGGCTGTGCGGTGGTAGCGGTGAATGTTCCTCCAGCCATGCCACTGGCGAATACCGGGTCTTGGGCGTATTGGAAAGAGAAATAGAGAAAGAACAATAAGCACGAATAGAATCTTGCGGCGGCGAGTGGTACAGTACCGCCGCCATATCCACACCAGAAGCACAGGAACCCAAATAAGGGAGCCCTGAACAAGCACCTGCATCAGCAAGCAACGGACATCAGCCCAAAACGTCAGCCCGTCTGGTGGGTGAACACCGGGAACGCGACGCCAAGGCAGAGTGGTGTCATTATCTCCCCGGCAGGTGGCATCCGCAGGGGCGTTTGGGGCCCTGTAAAGCACGTTTGAAAAAGCGTAAATGGCGGAGTTATTCGACGGCGATTCTGGCGCCTGGGCCGTTTGCGTCGCCTGGGAATACAATGAGAGGAAAGATGCATCAATGACCACTGGGTACTTGAGTGGACAGAAACGGTGGAGAGGATGGCGCAGTGTCTGCAGGTGCTTCTTAAGGGCAGTCACGTGTTTCAGCCGGAACTGTAAGAAGGGCAGGTCCATCCCCAATGCGCCACGAATAACTAAACTGATGTCATTCTTGCTGCTGCTGGGTGGCAACTTGCCGCTCTCCGTCGCGCTGCAGAATCCATGTCGGCGGCGCACTGTGAGGACGCGACCCAAGAGGGTTCGCTCGCTGGTCCCCTCTGGCCTCATATCTATACAAGAAATTGACTGTAGATCTGCTTGTGAATGGACTCGTGCTATTTATTCTGTTCCCCTCGTTTTTGGTTCAGTTTCTGCTGTGGTCAATGGGGATGCCTTGTTGGACAACTCAATGCACACTGTCGTAGGGAGGGAAATGAAGCCCAAAGGCTACGAAAGGTTAAAATGCGTCAAGATTGGCGGCAAGTCAGAAGAGTTTCCTGCCTAGGTTCTGGCTCGGTGTGCTGGAATTTCACTGCAGGAATGAAATGATTTGGTTCAGCATCATAACAAACGTTATTGCGATGGCTTGCCTCTGGCTGCCAATACTTTCAATAAAGCTGTTCATATTTAAAGGGTAAGCCATATGTTTCGTTGTTCATGAGCAGAGGAAGAAAGTACAATGTGCCCTGAGTGACCCGGCATCCGTGTCTGTTGGCGACGGCTCATGCAACTGGGGCCGGCACGTATGCTGCGCGCATAGCTTACATTTCCTGCTCATTATAGTTAAAAAGAAAACACGCAGAAAAGTAAATGTGTAGTGGCTTCGACAATGTTTCCGCCACACTTGGTTTTTGAGTAGAGCGATCGGTCACAATGGACAGGACCACAGGTGACCACTATTCCCAGTGCTCAAATAGCAACGAATTCACCGAAGTACGCCGTACTCTTTTATATTGTCTTAGCTCAAATATCTAGTAATAAAATTATTGATGCTATTACTCATCAGCATGTTGGCACGTAGGGGATGCGGACGCATCTCGCGCTCGCAGGCTCACACTGTGTTTCAGGTTTCAAAAGAAAATCCAACAGACTTCAATATCAATAATAAGTTACATTTCAAGAACAAGCACAAACAATCTACAGTAGCTAAGAAATTTGCCATGCTGCGCGGACACCGACTGTGCTGTGCAAAAAGTTAGGAAGATTAATAAGCTGAACCTTAGCACGAGTTCTTTGTAACGGGCGGCAGCTGGGAAACACGGGAGTGGCCAGATTTGGCCCTAGTTGCCGTGAGTATCCATTTATTCGGGGTAACAATTATCAGACCGCCAGCGTAGATCCAGCAGCTCTCCACTGATTTAGAAACACTCTGTCGCGACATCTGCATACCGCTGTAGAGCCTTGAGGCCAATACAGAGGTGCTCTTGGGTTTCAGCGTTGCACAGAGACACCACAGGAGGTCATAGGAGTGAAACAAATGCGGGTGTATTCGAAACCAACAGAAAACAGGAATAAAAGAACTACGCAGACTGAAAATCTTCCTACCAGGACATGGTGTGGAGCTCTCTCTGCACAAAAGCCGTTTGGTAGTAGTACAACGTGGGCTTTTGTAGAGCCATAAACTTAGAAGAAAGTACAAAGACATATAAATTTATGCTTTCAAGCACTAGAAATGCGCCTAATGAATGCTTGTCATAAAAAATTCCCCCCTTACCGATTTCATACACTTTAGCAGCCTCAGTGTAGCCAGTTTCCCACTCGGTGATAGATAGGTGTGACTTAAGCAATCAAGTAGGCTGTCCATTTTAATTCAGCGATAAGGCTATAAGCAAGTGGTAACTCATTCAATTTGTGCTCAATTTAATACGTCCGTGATGGAATAGTTAGAGGTCGTCACTAAACGCAATTCGAATTTCAATACGTTTTTTGCAGCTTACGAAAACCGGGAGCCCTGTTCTCGCAGTAGGTCATCTTTACTGTTCAACTGCGTTCCACAGAGTCTCTTGAAAGTGTACGCTACTTGCCTTTTGTATATTCATGCAGCTCATATTCATACTCAAATTACAGTCTTTTTCCACTAGAAAAAAAAAGAAGTTACTTCTACCAGGTGCCTTCCTTGTACCCCGTTGAAAGAGAACAATTTTCGACTCATTACTCGGCTTCGCGAGCACATTCCATAAATGCGTACATTCGAAATTTTTCCCGGTACTCTATGGTTGTTTTGAGCTCTTTTCCTTGCTCTTTGACGATTGCATCAATAAATTCAGTGGGAAGACCAGAGCCTCTCGCACACGCTTCTGTTGTTACGTTGCTGAAGAGGACAGGCAGCAAAAAAAATGCCTATAAAGCTGATGAATATGGTAAAAGGCGACACGAGCGACGGCACTGAAGGGTTTGAAGGGTAAGTGAAAGTCAAGAGCTGTAAAGAAAGTCTCCTAATTAGGTGGTGCACCGCTGATCCGTTTCCCATCATGACCAGATCCTGAAGACATCTCGTCCGTCGAATGCCTTTGCCTCCTAAACTTTAGAACACTTCAGTGCCTCCTAAATTTTAGAACACTTTAGTACACCCTGCCATAGGAGTCGCTGGGTCATCAGAGGGTGCCGTGCTGCTCGGTGCGTGGGGATCTTCGAAGAGCAGGTCTAAAGTCCGATACCGCTCAACTGATCCAACTACTCAATTGCTTTTGATGTTTTAAATATTTCAGCAGTGTTTGCCGACAATGACAGCGCTTGGTAGGCTCCATCAGCATGCCCCTGCACTGTAAACATTTGTTTTGTCGGTTGTAGCAATCCTTATGCACCCTGCCTAAAGTTCGAGGCCACTCAGTAGATTCCGTACTAATATTTAATCGCACTGATGATCAAAAACGAATCAAATGATTGCTGACATATGTTTGGCATGGGGACTCCCGTAATTCCATATGACTCTTCCGTCATCCTTCTAAATGTGTATATTCAACTGTCACAATCTACAAAATGTAGGCAAATTCACAATGTAATATTTCGAAGTCCAGGGCAATAACCATTTTGTATCCTTACAGTTCCGACAAAACTAGGCCTGTAGGGGCAACATTGGGAGCATATAATGCTTGATAATTTACCACTTTACGAATTTTGTTCCGCCTGAATTGTCTTCGTGCTTATCAGCCATGATAGTTGGAGTACGGATTGGCGAAGGCCAAGCCTATCCACTTCCTGGCTGAAAAAACTTAGCCATTTATAGTTCGCTGTAATTGAGCTAATCTGGTTGCATGCGGCACGTGGCGGCCTTGTTAGGTAGCCAACCCCTTTAGAGTGTGATGGTCATAAGAGCGCTTTGCTGGTAGCCTTACGGGTAAGATATGCTAACGCTGGATATAGTCCTAGAGGGCCTCGAAAATATGTGAATATGCTTTCTTGGCCGCATCTGCTTGTCGAACTGAGTACACTTGAGGGCACGCTCGGCCAGCGAACATAACAGGGGCCTCTGTCGAATTTTACACAGGAGGGAGGTTGCCAGCTTCTCTACTCTCGGCAAAGCCTGTTCCGTGTAACACCGTTTGCACGCTTCTGCAGACCGGCGAATGCTCTCGCTGCGTGAGGAACAATTATTCCCCAGGTTTTCTCTCTTATTGCACTTAAAACGCACGATGGCCAGCAGATTGCTGCCATTATTTGTCACCAAAGCTCATATGAAGTCGCGGAACTCTGGAAGCATCTCCAGCTGGGCTAAGCGCCAGCTCATTCCGCTGCCACTTCTACACTTCTACTATAGCTGCTCACGAACTCCCCAATGCCGCGGGATTTACTGCAGCGTCTTTTGAGTCTTTGAAAACAACGTTAACTCCATCAGTCGGAGTACTGCACAGCTCAAAAGGCAGGTTGGCCAAGAAGTAGAGCAGTAACTACGCTGTTGGCATCTCCACCCTTCTGCGCCAAGTATGTCAGGTGATCTTTTTTCCACTGAGTAGCTGTGAAATGGCAGACGAGAATTGAAAGAATTGAAGTGCAAAGGCCCAGGAATATACCGCACATTAACCGTGCTCAGTCTTTTTTTTTGTTGAATGCAATCCTGTGACACAACTCACCAGAGCATTGCCTTCTAAATATTTCCCAAGAATGCTGCGGCAAGTTCCGCCTGAGCTATTCCCCTAACTTCTTAAAATGGATCCAATGGTTCAAAGCTGCCATTCATTTGCTTGCTCCATACTGCTGATCCAGGCCTAGTTCCGTAAATCTTGTCTTTAGTAACCTTAAGAAGCTCCTCATACTGCCTTCTTTCCAGCATACGGTTGACTGCAAGACAAATACTTTCTGTCTTGTCAAAGCCGTATGCATTACCAGGTCCCGTTGATAGTCTACTGCCCGCTTAAACCAGATGATCCCCTGGTTTTTGTCTATCTGCAATGCACGTTCTGCAACTGTTCCCTCAGGAAGGCCCTCCTGTGGAGGCTGTTTTGGTTTTATGGCATTACAGTAGCGAATCAGTCGCTCTTCTTTATCAAGTTACTCCATGCACACTTGATTTTTCGAGGGGTGCTGTACACTTATCACTCGCCAGCTGTGTTGGTGCACGCTTAGTGTGCTACATTTTGTGCAATATCTGAGGTTCCAAGTCAGCTAGTTTTACTGTATTCTAGCTCATACACGATCAAAAGCTTTCCCTAAACTGTAAAGAGAGACACCCAGCTCTGCTTTTGTACGATATTCTTTATTGGGCACTCAAACATTTTTTTGCAGCGATTCCGGAAATGTACAGACTACAAATAGAAGCCACCTGCATCAGGAGGGGTTCAGAGCCTGAAGCCTTCTCTGAAAAAGTCGGTGCTTCAGACCCCTCCCGATGTGTTTCTTTTAATGTGTCAGTGACGCCGCAACGATCAAGCTCTTGCCATCATGCAAACCATCCTAAGCCTAGCAGCAGCAAAGCCGAGTTTTCTTGTTTGATAAATCACTGGATATGGGAAACGGCATTATGAGGCCCTGGATATAATAAAGTTCGGCAAGGAACAAAGAGCAGGGCAATTCACACAGGATTTCATACTAGAAGAAACGGAATCAGGGGTGACTTCCAAGTTGGACACACGTGGCCTGGAGGCCACAAAACCATAGCGCAGTAGTAGAGCAACAAGGGAAATAAGTGGCTCTGGTGTATCCCTTAGCCCCACTGCTCGTCAAGTGTATTCTCTTTAACTCTATGAACATTTTTTTCAACACAGTTGTTTTAATTGCTACTAATCGAGATGCGGGGGAGCCGCAGCCGCAGTAGCATCACCTGCTTCTGAAAAAAGCTTGAATCTTCAGTATCTGGTGTTTCTTTGGGCTCATGAGAGCTGCCATACTCCCCGTATTCTCTTGAGAATTGTTTGGCCAGCAATACTCGGCCAAACAATCTCATTTTGGGCCTTTCTGAAAAGCGTTTTCAATGACAGAGTTACTTTCCCCTCTTCACGGCTCGGTCTGGACACAGCCGTAGGCCTCCATAAGGATCTATGCTCAATTTAGGCTTACCTCGTTACTACAGTGTCATTTGCAAACTTCACGCAATACTCCTTCAGGCCGCTGAACCTCCAATTTCATTGTAGAACTAAACCCGCTGCCAGCAACTGGGGTTTTGGGTCCTCTAGGCCACCTTTTGTAAAGTCAAGACGCCCAAGTCATATTACGGAGTCAAATGCTTACTTCGTTTCCCAAGGAAGCACACACTTGTAGATGCGCGTTGCGTAAGCCTCAAATTCTAGCACGAATATACCTGGCCTACATTGAAAGCACTCGCGATAGCTTTTGAAAACGCTCATATATATCAAGTTTGAGGGAGTGAAATATATGAAGTAATCTGTGTACTTATTGTGGCATCGGG